CAAAAAAAAAAAAAAAAAAAAAAAAAAAAAAAAAAGGAGGGCTGTTAGAGTATTAGGAGGGACAGCTTAGCAAGCAACCAATGGAGAAAGAAGGAAGGTAGAGAGCAAAGAGGACTTGAAGGGAGGAAAAGAAGGAAGGAAATAAAGCAGGGAGGAAGGAGGAAAACCAACCCTGGTATACCCCCAACACATCCTTGTACCCTCTCAGCACAAGGCAACACGAACAGAGCCCTCACAACAGAGAGCAACCACAAGCTGTGATAATTTGGTCACTTCCACCTTTTGTTTCTCTGAGCCTTTGCCTTCTGCTCCTCGACAGAGGCAGCGCCCCACCCTCACTCGCGTACCCCTCAGACTGCCTGCTCAGACCCCCCTCCTGCACCCCAGGAAGAAAGTCTTGCCGATTACAACCCCAAAGAGCAGGCCCTCTCCCTCTGTCCCCCTCACTTTCCTACCCTAACCCTAAGCTACCATGCTGTTTGCTTGTTTTTGTTTTCCTTGCTCTGTTTTCACAGTCTCTCTGCTGGGACACAAGCTTTATGTAAGCAGGGACTTTGTTCTGTCCCTGGCACAGAGCAGGCAGTAAATTAAGGTATGGCCTTTGAGATCAAGGTCAGAGCAACGGGCTAAATTTAATTACTAGAAGATGCTCTCTAGGGAAACTCTGAGGACAGATACCTGCTGGCAAGTCAGATTTGAAAAATAGACAAGTAACCCTCAGACAGGTTTGTGGGTTTTATCATTTATTTTCCCATGACACTCCAAATATTTCCTACATTTTTCTTTGCATTTTAAAAATAACAAAAATCTTAAACCATTACCTTTTTTTTTTCCAAATGCCTTTATATTTTAATTAAGGCTAAAACATCACAATTTTTTTATTTTTTTAAGGCTAAATCTATATATTTATCTGAGCTATACAGAGCTATATAGAAATATTATTGAGCTATATAGAAATATTTCAGCTATATAGAAATATTTCCAATTCAACAAGAGCACAGTTTTAGTACGATTAAAAATGTCTATGGAGACTTATTCTGGGGTGGTTCACAAAGGATTTTACCTAGAAGCATCATTCTTCTCACCAAAATATTTGAAATTCCATTCAAAAACTAAAATTAACCCATTTGGATTCATGAAGCCCAAAGAAAATATAAAATTTAATTTCCCCAGAGCAATCCATGGCTTGCAGAACACCAGCAGCTTGAATGTTTTGCTGATCACAGACCAAAGAGAGGTTATTTTTAGGATCAGAGCCAACCTCACCCAGTCCTGCCTGGAATCCTCCACTGCTCCTTTTCTGGACTTGAGCATGTTCACTTCCACTCCACATCTCTCGGGAACACTCTTTAGACAAAGGCACAATTTGGTGGCCCCTAAACCACAGCCTGCACCAGCAGGGCAGTGCGTGTGTATCCACAGGTCCAGAGGGATTATTTCTGAGACTTTTCCAGTCGTCCTACACCTGTCAGGATGTCAGAACTGGGAGTGAAGACCCAGACACCTTTCCCCCAGCGGTCCTGGGTTCACTCTGTACTCGATAACTGATGCTTCCCATCCTGTCCATCTCACGCTGTCATCCGATGTCTGAAGACATTTCTGTTCATTCTTTAACAACAGCCAGAAGCCTTAGGTCTCACTCAATCTATGTCTAAAGTTTCTGATTTTAGTTAACAGGACTGGGGATGTAGCTCAGTGGTTCCGCTGCCTGCCTGGCAAGCGCAAGGACCCGAGTTCAATCCCTCGTACCAAAAAAAGAAGTATTGAGTTTGTATGATTTTAGTTAACAGAATCTGTTAATCACAATTGGGTCAGTTTCTCCTTTGTTGAGCAAATCCATCCTTCAAGCTGTCACTATTAATAGGAAACAACCTTCATAAATTTTCTTGTTAAATTGCAATGCACACATTTTCAGGCTGTGCTGGATGTAATCTAATATCTACTATTTCTTTCATCTCACTTATGCCTTAATTACCTTCAGACCTTCAGTTTGGGTTAGCCATGAGAATTGGAGAAATGTACCAAGTGCAAAACAGAGGGTTACCCTCTCTCTCAGGGAATACAAGGGGTGTGTGTGTGTGTGTGTGTGTGTGTGTGTGTGTGTGTGTGAAATAACTGCTCACACTTGAGTCTTGTTTAGAGCAGAGAAAAGATGTTTGTGTAATAGGCAGTTTTTCTTTGTTCTCTGTGGGCTCATTTATGCCTCCCACATTCCTGTGTGGACACAAGTACACACGTACTATATACACATACACACTCCGGAAACTTCCTCTCCTCCCATTTACAAATAAAATTAGACCCTAAGGATCTCATTATCAAATGGAGATTTTACATTTACATTGTAAAATCTAAGCCTTATTTTTGTGGAAAAGCAAAGTGATTTTAAGTTTGTTTTAGTGTATTAAAGATGAAGTGTGTGATGATTTGTTATGGCTTGTGTTTAGATGTCCCCCTCAAAGCTTCAGCTTTTTCTAGGTGGCTGACTCAGAATGTGTGACTGATTCCTAGTGTGGGGCTAGGCTTGAGGGCACTAGGATTAAGGGTGTGAGTGCTACCAGCCCTAAGTAGTCTGAGTAAGATAAAAGGAACAGAAATGGAAAGACACTCTTAAGGTCCCCTTGCTGCTTCTGCTGTCTCTGCCATTGTTAACTTCTCCTCTGCCAAGCCTTTCTGCCTTGGAGCCAGCCAATTACAGACTGAGATGTCTATGAACTGTAAGCCAAATAAACCTTTCCTCCTTTAACTTTGGGTGTCGGGTATTTTGTCTCAGCAACGAGAGAGAAAAGTAACTAGCACATGATTTGAATATTTGCGACCCAAAAAAATTGGTATGCAATATTTCACCCCAGTGAGGTGGGATAAGAAGTAAAATATTTGGAGGTGATGAGTCACAAGGGCAGAGTCTCATCATGGTCAGTGTCCTGACCGAAGGCCCCAGAGAGCTCTGCCCCCTACATCATGGAAGAATGCAGTGAGAGGTCAGCCATCTATGACCCAGAAGAGGCTCCTCTCTGGCGCCCAACTATGCTGCACCCTGACCTCGCACTTCCAGCCTCCACAGCTGTGAGAAATGAGCCTCTGATGTGGATAAGCCAATGATCTGTGGTACTTTGTTACAGCAGATGAGCAGACTAAGAGAACATGCAGAAAGAACAAACCACTTTTGTATTTGGGCAAAACTAAGGTGTTAAGAGGAGCTGGAGGGGGTCACTGGGTGGACCTCACTCTGTTCCTGCCCTTGGATGAGCATGCGCAGGAAGCTGTCAGGAACGTGGGGCAAGTTCCGAGGCCTCCGGGTGCCTGGCCCCGGCATCATCTTACAGATGCCACTGGTTCCTGTCGCGAAGCTCTTCTTTACACAAGTATTACCCACCAATCCTGCTGCTTTGTGGCTGGCCATCAGAAAATGAGGTAGATAGAAAGGGATCGAGGCAAGGTCCAGAGTGACTGTGGATATTTCTGTCAATAACACATCCCAATTTCAACCTAGCTGTGGAGATCGCAAGACCCTCGGCACAATTCCTCATCCAGGGTCCACAGCTTTCTTGCCTTGGCTATGAGAACAAAAGAATATCTGTGCCTTGCCAGTGCAGTAACCTGTTCTTTCTGTGTCCTGACCATCTCAGAACCTCCTGCTTCCGAGACCCCTGATGCCTCTGATGAAGGATTCAGGCGCAGCTCTCTGCCACAGCAGCTGGCAATAACTCAGAGCGAATTACCTACTGCCCAGCCCATCAACATCTGGACAGGTATGACTAGTGTGGACAGGCTTTTGATTCGTTAACCATGGTTATCCTAACAGCCAGGACATGGATTCTTCAATCAAAGTGATGGTATTCTCAGGGAGTGCTGAAGGATTGTTCACTACATGCTCCAAGGTCTTGCTAGAGAAGTATAAATGGCAATCAAAATAAGGAAAATGGTTCTCAAGTCAAATGAAATATTTTTTAAACCCCCAAACATTCATTTCCTATCCCATTTCCACTTGTGAGGGGCCTGAACAATGCCCCTGCAGAAGGAAAAGTAATTCATTTATCATATTAGTCCCTTTCTGGCAGCATTTCTAAGCAAAGGCATTTGATGCACACATCAGTAGTTCTGAATAGCAGCCCCTTCTGGGGCCAAGGCCAGACTGGTCCGTGCTGGGCAATTACAGGCCAAGACCTCTGCTCAGACAGCAGCTCCTTCCCCCAGGAGCTCTGGCCCATCATATACCCATGAAATGGGAAAGTCTCCTTTCTTCCAGAGCCCAAGTAGCCTGTCATCTAGGCATTAATCTCATAGACTTCTTTGGAAAACGGAAATACAAAGGCCCTTACCTTGGCAGTGATTTCTTTAAGTGACAAGTTCAGGGCTTTCATTCTTTCCTGGAGGCTAAAAGAATTAAGAAGAGGACATTGGTCTTTTGGTTAACCACAGGTGGATACCTGCACATAAAAGACAGTGCAACCAGCGACCCTTTCAGCACCCAGGCATAGATGAAGAGCACTGGGGGAGGTGATGCGGCATTAACACGCTATGGGAAGCAGACCTTTCTTCCCCGATGCTTTGCCTAGGCTCGTGTTCAAATCTGTCCGCGTACCCAGAGTATACATCTACTGATACTGAGAAGATCAACCCGGGGGTCCTCCCAGCAGCAGAAGGTTCAGATCTGCATGCCTATAGACACCTTGGAATGATGGTGTACACAGGGAAGTGGATACCTATGTGGGTACACCATCAAATCAACAGACATGTACCAAGTGCCCTCTGCATTTAACATCACCAGGAACATGTGAGAGACACCTGTGCATAAAACAGGTCTGTATGGCACCCTTTGCTCTCTGGGCTTTGCTCTGCTTCTTTTCTCTTCAGTAATTTTGCCTTCACATATGAGTTTATTGGCGCACTTTCTCCCCCTCCCTCTCCATTGGAACACAAGTCCCACTCGGGCAGTGATCTGCTGTGTGTACTCCCGTAGCCCCATCTCCGGAAACGGCTCCTGGAGCTTGTTAGAGCTCGCAATATCTGTAGCATGTATGGGTCAACAAAAGCAAGACTCGCCTCTTATTCTCAAGGCTGATTCTTAGTGGAGAAGAAACACATGCAGGCAATCAACCAACCATCATGTAAAGCAAGATGAAAAAAAATTACTCCAAGGAAAAGAGAAACCCAATGCTAGGAGGACTCTGCTAAATAAAAGCTGCTTGGGCAAAATACAGATGATGGAGACAAGAACTTAGGAGCAACTTAGAAATGAGAGAACAGGAAGGAAAGCTTACTGGAAGGCACAGAAAGTGAGGTGAAGAAGGGAGGGAGAATGAGACCAGAGGAGCAAATGAATCTAACGGGGCCAAAGGGTTCACACAGGTGAGCTGCGAAACAGAAAGTTAAACAGGAGGCGGATTACTTGTGAGACAATAGAAGAGAGGGAAGGGAGGAAGGGGGTAAGGGGCAGCCTGTCTGGGTTGTTTGATTAGGAAAAGAGGACCAAAGTAAATGTGCTTAGAATGCTTACAATGAAAGTAAATTTTAAAGACTAGCAGGACAGGCTCTTGTTGGTATTATGTACCAGGTTAAGGAGATTCAAGCTTTCTCCCTCATGAATTCGGAAACAATATGAAAGAGATCTTTTGGGGGTTTTGGAAAAGTATCTAGGCAGCACCTGAAGGGACAATTTGAAGAAAGAAAATCCAAATGTGACAAAGCAGGCAGCCTCCCGTCGGGGAAGCCAGTTGTCATTGGGTACAAGAGCCCACAGGGTGCTAGAGACCAGAAAGAAAGGAAGAAGGAAAGGCCCAGGAAGGGAGACTGCAGAGGATTGACAAGTGCTGGTCTACAGCCTTTCGTTGCTTCAAGTATTCAAGGCTCATTGGTTCTTTCTACATCGGAGGGGCCACCGCCATCAGGAACTCAGATCACAAAGACACAGCTGCTGTCCTCGACGATTCACTGCTGCAAGGGGTGAGAGACAGTGTTCTGCGTGGCACGATCAAAATACAAGGTGAATGTTTACATTTTTTAAAGCTTAAAACTTATTGTGGTGAAAGATATTGTCCTCACTTCAAATGCGCGTTCCCGTCACTCTTCCCACTTTCTGAAGCAGTTCTGTCAGTCCACTTTCGTGAGTGTCTTCAGCTATCGTGGCTGCCTTGATGTCCTGAATCAACCCACAACATTAACCTTTCATGGTCATTGTAACTTTGAGGACGAGCTAGAAATTGCACGGTGCCAGAGCCAGTGAGTGAGGTGGATGAGGACACACTGTTATGTCCTGACAAGCCTTCCTCTCTCTTGGGTGGCACTTGGCAGGAGCATTCACTGTATTTTTTAATCACATTTTATAAAGACACTCACAAAAGAGGACTCCCAGAACTGCTTCAGAAAGTGGCAAGAACCCTGGCATAAGTGTGTTTGAAGCAGGGGGGAGTGTTTTGAGAGAGATTAGGGGCAAGGTGTCTTTTACTATAATAAATTTTTCTAATATTCACTGTATATTCTGATTGCCCTTTATAGGTACAAGAAGGGGAGGTGGCTTGATAAACAGTGGTCTACCCAAGGGGGAGGTGAAGGTTTCATGGTATGTGTAAGTCAGGGAGGCACCATGCGGCCATAACATGGTTGTAAAATACAAAACATAGTTCAGCTGTAAATTTGTTGGATTTTGTTGTTCTTCTCTGAACGTGAGAACTGTTCTGAAATGTTATCACCTCCAAAATCAATTCTGATTACTGCACATAAGCAAACTCTCCCGGCTTGCAAAGAGCTGGGAGCCAATTCAGGGTTCAGGCACGCTGGTCAATCCCCTTGGAGACCTCCTTTCAAAGGAAGACGGTCTTCTGGTCCACCTGAAGTTGATCCTAATGGAGGCGCTAAGCATGGCCAAGGGGCAGGGCGTATGGCACAAAATTCTTCTGAATTCAGGAGTCCCCATCTGACACCCCTGAGTGTGCCAATGGGGGCCATGGAAAACAGTGTTTGGAATCCTACCTGGTGAATTCTAGACCTGGCAGGGTGGAGACTGGGGTCTTTTGAGAGCAGGTAAGTCTCAGCATCAAGTTCACATGGAAAGGAAGGCAGGTCAAGCCACCTGGGCTATCAGGAAGAGAAAGACCGCGCATGTCAGACCCAAACCCAGAGGAGATCTGCCTCTGTGCAAGCTGTGCTGTCCAGTGGTTGACACTGCTTTCCAAAGCCTTCCTTGGGCAGAAATGCGCTCTCCTTCTCTTGTCAGGCTCACAGGAGTCCATTTGACTAATACATTTTTGATGAACAGCTCACCACATAACTGAACCTGCATGAGCATTTAATAGCATATTATAAATAAGAATTCCCAAACACACACAAAGACTAATTCATGCATTGACAATGAAGACAGAATAGGGTCTCTTTCTGATACTAAAATACAACTGGTCCAAATGGCCAGTGCCTTTAGCTAATGCCCAACATACAAAATAAAAATCAGGCCAAACATCATCATCTTAGGGGCAGACAGGAGTTCAGGGCTGCTTGCCCTATCCAAGAATGGAAATTAGTTTCCTCTCACATATCCATGTGAGAGGAAGGAGGCAGTGATGCAAATAATTGAATGCATTGTTTTATATTTGATTTGATTTATATTTAATTTATTTAACTTATGCTATATTACTTCTTTTTGCAGTAGATTTACCTTCCTAATTATGTTCTGCTTGGGTTAATATTAACATTAGTTGCATCCCTGGGGTATACACACAAGGAAAGCCATGGGCATGGGGTGGAGGAATACGAATAATCTACGTCCTCTGCTAGGGGTTTCCAAGCTATTTTTAGTAGTAGAACTTTTTCAAACAAAGTGTTACACAGAACTGTGATATATAATGTAGATAACAAGGGATTCATTCTAGGAAAAGAAGGGTGTCTGGACCGGTATACAGTCGATGTCACACTAACCCTGCGTACACCCAATGCTACTGCTATCACTCTGTGGCCCACAAATCGTTATTTCAGGAGCAGGCATACAAATCAAAAGGCACCAAATCAGACCAATTAAATGTTGATAAATAAGTCCTATGTCGGTGATTAAAACTAGTCCCCATGTCTCACTAAGACTACATATTGCTCTTGACAAATACTCACTCCTCAGATCAAATCACGCTGTATCCTGGAAGCACGTACACCGTCCACACAGGTTAGCAGCTATGCTGTGACAGGCACACCAGACCTACTTTATGTAAATGAGTACCTTCATTCATAGAAGCTGCTCCAGGCATAACAGCCAAACGTTTACTGGATGCTTACTGCGCACCAGGTACTCTTCTATATTCTTTACCTGATGGATACTTTAAATCCTTATTTTGTCTCTCCGAAATAGGAGCTATAATTATCCACATTTCCAGGGAAGAAAATTCAAAGAGATTTACATAAGCCACCATGGTTACCCATCTGGGGGACTGGGAAGCTGGAATGGTAACCAGGCGGTCCAGTTCTCTAGTCTTCTGATAGTAGCACACAACTTCTCTCAAAAGTGTGAGCTGATATGAAATGTGCTATAGTTGTCCAGAATGATTTCTGGAATTGTCTTCCAAAATCATGTTACTTTCACAATACAATTATTACCTTCTTAAACACATTCTTCTTTAATCAAAAACGGGTGCAAATCATATGAATAAAATTCATCTCAATAAATGAAACTTTAGAACAGCAGAGACCACAGATGAGAATGTGCTACAGAGAGCTCCCATCCACAGCTCACGGCCTGGGGCAGCCCCAGAGCAAGACGCAACAGACTGTTAAGGGCTGATCTGTGTCCCTAACCTAGTACCTCAGAGTATGATTGTAACTGAATACTGGGCCAGGAAAGAGGTAATTAAGTTAAAGTGAAGCCATTAGATTGGGTACTAACTCAAGCAGACTGCGGTCATTGTAAGAGGGAAAATGCAGACACAGACACAGCCAGAGGGACAGCCCAGCCATATGAGGACACAGTCTGCAAGTCAAGAACATAGGAACCAACCCTACTCACACCTTTAATCTTGGGACTTCTGGTCTCTAAACTGTGAACTCATAAAGGTCCACAGTGTAAGCTGCCCGTCCCTTGTACTCTGTTACAGCCCTGGGAAACTAATGCATGTAGGTTTTCCAATTTCCAATAATCAGATTAATTGTGTGTGTTATTAAGAGCCTGCATATGATGCTCCAAGTTCCAAAAGAGAGAATCTGCTTCTCCAAGCAGCAGCAACTGGACCACACTCCCATGATCAGACAGATGTATGGACACTTTCACTCCCAACCCACTCAGCTAGAGGCACAGAGCTGCTGCAGCAATAGGTGGGGGCAGAACATAATGCTCCTGCCTGCAGCCTAGGAGTCAAGCAGCAGGAAAATGTTGTATGAGAATACCCTTGACAATTGTTGTT